TTGATCTTAATATTATTGTTTTTATTTATGTATAGTATGTACATTTAATATATACTAATGATGATGTAATAAAATAAAGTTTTTTATTTTAATGGTCTACACACTTATACAATACAATTATGACTTAATTGTAAAAACCTTTTAAAAATTAGATATTTTTGTTATAATGAACCATGTACTAAAAACTAATTATTTTACTTTAATATAGCTAATCCAGTTACCATATTATTTAATATACACAGTATGTAGTCATTTTGTTGTCTGAAATAATATTACCGTATGATACAACACAAATGCAAACACCTGTTAAAATATGAAATGAGTAAGATAAAAATAATAAATATAGTTATGCTATTATAAATTTATATAAAAATTATTAACCGAAATAAGTGTAGATTTGTTGAATTTAGCGAACCCTCCGATAGTGAATCCAAACACATCAAGTCAATTGAAATAATTTTCTATTATTTTACAGTATGATAACAAGGCTTTCAAATGATATATAGCTTTTACTATTATTTTATTTAAAGTTACTGTTTTCATTACTTAAAGTCTGTGCAATTTTTATATTACCATATGTTATTCTAGACTTTAATCTGGATTATATACCGGTATTATTCTATAGAAGTTATAGCTTATGGTAGACCAGCAGCTGAATAGCCCCCATCGACCAACATATAAGTGCCGGCTATAAACGATGCCTCCTTTGCCACCAAAAATAGCACAGCAAATGCAAAGTCATCCGATAAGGTCAACCTTTGCGCCGGTATTTTAGCACTCAATTCGAGTAAACGATTGTTAGGGGTGTTTGGATCCCAATGGTACGGACTGGGGAGACCCCTACTAAAATAAGTTAATTATAAACATATAAACATTATCCATGGAGTGAATGAGATATATATATATATATATATATAGAGAGAGAGAGAGAGAGAGATGCAAAACACAACATACTTAACACTATTAACTCGTATGCCTTTGGGTCCCAACTCAGTGGCCATACATTTGGTGAACATATTAAACCCCAATCTCGCCATACAATAAGCCGACTCTTTCGGACTATTCATAAAATAGATATTAATTTAAGCATGGTCACTATTACAACTATTATACAGGTCGAGTGCTTCTAATGCTGGATATGTTGATGATGGTTCCCCAGGTGCTCCACACAAATGCTGGTCATAAATACCACGGCCTCCAGGATTGTTTGCATAACACTCTTGTATTCAGCCATAAATAATGGGTCATTAATGGGGTTGTGTTCGGTTAAGACATTAATGGGACAGTTGACCAAAATGTCGATTTGACCAAAAGTGTTGATAGTTTTTTCAACCAGTTTTTGTATGTCATCCTCCCGGGTGGCATCAATTGGTTGTAATTGTTATATAATTTATTAGTTTTAAAAGCAGTTTTTACTATAGATTTGTTGTAAATTAATATTAGATAATAGTGTGTTACGCTTAATACAACCATATTAAACTTATTATTGGTAAACATTTGTATGGCAACAGGCATACCAATAAATGATTGGCTAAAATATTTATGGTTTGCGTTGTATAGTTGCAAATTGTTTTATTTTGTTTAATAAATGAATCGACAAAAACGGATAATTTAAATCCTGTTTACAATAATAATCGTAAATGCTTATAAAAAAGCAAATTTTAAATAAAAAGGATTTTTATGCATTTGAATATTTTTTAAAAATTGATTTGTAATAGGATATTTAATACTAGTTTTTACTAGCCCCAACGCCATAGAAAACTTTAAATTATTTAAGAGCAGGTTAATTAAATACACCATCTATAAATTACCTGCTAAAATGAGCGCGTTCATCGGCACATTCAAAGAGATCTCATCTAGCAACATGGTGGCGCTCTATAGAGAGTACGGTTAGTATTGTACACAACACACAGACACACATAATCTGTTATTTGCATCGATTGTCAACCAATTGAGGGTAATATGTGTCAAATAACTCGTAGGCATGTCGGAGGACGAGGCCAGTCGTATGGCGTCCCTAACCCGGGCACTCGAGTTCAGCAAAGAGGGCGCTGTCTATGCGATTAAAATGATCGAGAAGGACAGGTATCAATAAGTTCCAGTTGGGAATGGAGTGTCTTTTTCACCATTTCAACGACAATACTACCAAGGTACTAGCCACTACAATGCTACTTTTAATTATGCACGTGTTTGACAAAAGGGTATTTAGCTTTAAAAATCGTAGAATTGAGCTAGAAGAAAATAATTTTTTTGCAACTATTGCTTTGTGGCACGGATCTATCGGTGTTCCCAATTTTATACAGACATAAGGGGAATGGTAGATATGTTTGTCCATCAATAAATCAAAAACTATAAGATGTAGGTGTTTTGATTTTTGGAAATTGTATCCAGGGTCAATATGAAAAAGGTTATTTTTGGATTTTGAGAAAATTTGCCTTATTTATTTTTAAGAATTCTTTGTGTGTGAAATTGTGATGATTTGAAATTCATTAATCTCAGCAACGGCTCAATGGATCAGGGTGATCTCAACTTCGTTCGAATTGTTCTTCAAAATACTAAAAATTATTTGCTTTCACCGATACTGTATTTTGTGGACAAAACATTCTAGATTAGATATAAATTTTCTCTATGTATTTATTTTATACTTGTTTTATTGTTTGTGCACAGAATCGGTGCAAGCAAATAATATTTAATGATTGTTCTTATTTTTTTTATTAATTTTTAATGAATAATATTTTTAATTTTTTTATAAATGATTAGGATTAGGGATCATTTAAAAATTATCAAGGCTCAGCTACAAATTTGATATGCAATTATAGTCATAATTCATATAATTCTATATTATAAAGTGTTTGACAAAAGGGTATTTATAGGTTTATTTAGTTTTAAAAATCGTAGAATTGAGCTAGAACAAACTAATGGGTCAACCTTTGTTATCTATCCTAGTTTTATACTAAATTTTATAATTACTAGTTTTGTCATTTGAATATGAAAAATCCAGGTGATTCAATAGATAGACATAAGTTTAATATTTATTATTATTTTTTAGTCTTCTAATGAATAATATTATTATAAATTATACATAAAATTATTAGTATTAAGAAACAGTGAAAAATTTATACGGCTTACAAGGAGGCGTATCATATTTTGATACTTTATAGGGGATGTGAAACTGATAAATAATAAATATTTTGCTCCTGCTTTTTCCGATAATTTCTGACCACATCATTAAGCAATGTGTTTCAGATAGCATGCACAATTTAGCAAAAATCATTAATCCACTGAATAGACAAACGTTTATTAGATAATATATGAAATAAATAATAAACGCAATTAAGGTGTTTTTTTAATTTTCAATTGTTAATATAGAGAATTAATGATTTTTTATGAAAATGTGCACAAACTATCTAGAACAAACTGCCTACCGATGTGGTTAAAAATTATCGGAAAAAGCAGTAACAAAATATATATTATTAACTACAGTCCCACAACCCCTATAAAGTATCAAAATATGAAACGCCTCCTGAGGGGGGCTTGAGGGGGTCTTTTTGGTGGCTACAAAGTCATGATTATGATTATAATTATGATTATGATTTGGCAGTCGGTGCTGGTGTTGGAGGACAATAGGCTCGTGCAGACTATGGGCGACAAAAAGGGGACACGAGTTGTATACGAGTTGGTGGGCCATGAGCTCTGGGTTACCTATACTGCTGGACCGGTGGTTGCCGGCCATATATTCGCTCGCCAATAGACTACAG